TCAGGAGTCCTTAAGGGATAGCCAGGAGAGGGAAAAGGTAGGCAAAGTGAGAAAGCTCCCCATTGGCCAGTGGGACAATCAGCACATAGTAGGTTTTCCATAAAGAGGCTTGTTTGAAAGATTGTTTCCTATTTGCCTTCCAGACTATTAGAGTCATATTTGATTCCATACAATTTCTCTGCACAGTCCTACCTCCCTTGGGTTCTTGTTTGCTATTCTTAACCTGAGTAAGGTGACCGAGACTGCCAGAGAGAGAGGCACCAAGATCTAAAAGTGCTGGCAGAGGGAGCCTCCTTCTGAGAGGCCACTGTCCCCAGAGTAACCTTTGGGCAGTCCAAGCTTGCTCTCAGGTCAACTTGTTCAAACTAGTTAGTACATCTAACCCCGCAGCTCACAAACATTTATTGCAGGCCTATAATGTGCAAGACAGGGCACTAGTGCCCTGTGGCCATCCCATGAAGGCAGAGGTGGGAGAGTTCCATGCAGGTTAAGAGCGTGGGCTTCTGCAAACCTGAGAGGGAGTCCTGGCTTTCCTCCTCACAGGCCAGGACAGCTTGGCATGTTGACTAACCTCACGGAGACTCCATTTCCTCATTTGTAAAGAGAACATAACTTGTTCCTACCTCACAAGACCTAGTGATAGGTCTGGGAGGCACGTAGCACAGCACCTGTTACCAAGTGATTGCTCAGTAAGTAGCTGAAGCTACAACTCCAGCACCAGCAGATGGCACACACTGGATGTGTCATCAGCAAAGCCTTGGGCCTCATGGGTATTCCACAGTGCCTGGAATGTCCCACCTTGCGTAACACCTCCAAGCTTCAGGTTGTCATCAGAAGGCCAGTGAGAGGCAGCAGTTTCTCAGGAACCAACCACCGAGTCTGCCCAGACTACACTTTCCCGCGGGTTGCAGCTGCCCACACCCTGCTCAGGACCAGGACTCTCCCCTGTGCAGAATGAGGACTTTGTATGGCATTTGGTTCTGGGAACACTGCTTAGTCTATTCCTTGGCACAGGACCTGCAGGGCAGGTTTGCAAAAGCATGACACACATTCCGACTCACAGAGTACTGACTGCTTCTGCCTTCCACTCCTGCTATTTGTCGACGAGACACCCCCATCCTCCCCCAGCCAGCCTTGGGGTGGGGGTCTCACCACCTCCCTTCCCCACAAGTCACTTCAAAGACATGACTTCCCAAGAGATCTTCACTTGCCCTTTTCATTTGTTGACAATGAGAATGACTTCCTTCCTGGCAGAGTAACTGAGAGTCATCGTGGTGGCTCTGCTCCCTCCACTCCTATGCCCGATCACCCACAGGCTGGACCTCTGGGGAGCCTATCCTTTGCACCTGGGCCATGAGGACCCAGGACCCAGAAGGCAGGACAGTTTCTCTTCCACATGTCGCCACAGCAGGATACAGGCACTGCCATCAATGCCTGTCACTTGAATTGAGCAAGAACAACCTGTCCCCACCCTGGACCATTTCCCCAATAGTCAGACCAGACCAAAGAGGCAAACTCTAGCGTCCTGGGGAACTGACAATGTCTCCTGCAACACAGCTTCTCCTTGGCTTTGGCCTCCACTTTGCTTATCGTTTCCCCGGAACCTGATTACAGGCGACCTATGTCCTTTATCACAGTGGGCAAGGTTTGCCTACCCTTGCCTTCCTGGCTGCTTACCTGCTTTACAGCCAGACTTTCTGTGGGATAGTGTGGTCCCAAGAGGTCTGGGAAGCTGGATGAGCAAAACAAGGAGGCTGCAGATATGGAGGAAGAAGGAAGAGGAAACGTGAGGCCCAGTCTTGGCTCCACTATGAACCCCAGTTTCCCCAGGGGAAGCTGAAGAGGAGCTGGCAGACCTTCCTCTCCCTGTCTGAGGTCGGGGTGGGGCAGGAAAACCGAAGGTGAGGCCAGTCACAAGTCAAGGGTGAAGGGAAGTCACACGAGTGGTGGGCTGGGTCTCAGGACAGGGTGGCTGCGAGCAGTGCTGCCCTCAGGGAAAAGACGAGAATTGGCTGATAACACCAGGGAGCAGTCTAGGCTGTTGGGGTCTGTCCTCAGAATTAAGCTACCCCTGCTTTCCCTTGAGCATTAAGCCTCCCCCAACCTCATCATCCCCTCATCACTGCTGTGGCCTCTGCTGAGTTTGGAGTGATGATCACCAAGATGATTAATATTCCATTTTTCCCTGGAGAGTTTGGGTTTATGTCCATTGTCCTGGTATAACCATGCATGGCATCCCCTTTCACTCTCATAAGTATCCCTGTTTGCAAGATACATTACACAGGACCTCTTTCTAGCATATCGAGGAGGGCACTGACACAGGAAAAGGTTAGGGACAAATCAGAGGGAAGCAGAACAACAAGCGAGGCCTTGGTGACCCAGAGTGGCAGCCAGGCTGGCTTCAGCCGAGCTGGATCCTCTCAGAACTGGACAATAGTGGAAGGGGAGCCTGAGAACTGCTTCCCACACTGGGGTTCAAATTGTCTTGGAGTCAGGGGCCTAGTCTGGTGGGTTCTGCTGTCTGCCATCCCTCAGAGGGCCTGGAGTCATGCTGGGCACACAAGAGGCTCTTAATCAAATCTGGTCAATTCCTTACTTTCCTCTACCTGCATCCAAAACAGAATTGCAGCAGGAAAAAATGGAAGCTGGAGCGCTGTAATTCTTTATTCAGCAACACACCAAATGTCATCTAGGTGGTCCTCTGGTCTCTGGCTCTCTGGCTTCTAGGACCTGACTGCTGCAGAGGCAACAGCGAGTTTCTAGCAGAGATTCCAGATGCCCATCCCAGCCAGGACAGCGGTGCCTCCTTAGGATGTGGGGTAAGGAATCAAACAATGGGAACTCCCTCTCCTGTCTTAGGTAACCACCTGATGTAGTAGCCACCTGATGCAGTCCACTCGGCCCCAGGCCTTTCTCCATTCACAGCCTGGGCTTTGGACACCTGCTATTTGTTCTGGGGGTAGAGTGTGGGGGTAGAGTGTAGGGGTCCAGGAGGTCCTCTTGGAGTTTCCTCTGGGACTTAGTTACAAAAGAGATCAGTTCTGAGGTCAAATAGGTGATACTACTGAGAAACCATAAACGTAAATTATCAGGGCACCCCAAACAGCACCCGACCTTCCATAATGTTTGTACAAACAAAGTCTGATGGCCTCTGCTGAAGAGGAGCAAAGGGTTGGAAAGGCTTTCTAACTCTCATTTTTTTCCCTCCTTTCTTACCCCATTTTCTAGTTCCTCCTTTAGCTTGGTAAGGGTCCAAGTCACAGCTGATCAGGACCAGCCAAACCCGAAGCCATGGGACCCAGCCAGAGCACAGACTGTGAATTCCCCAGCTTTTTGCAGTTTGAGTCAGCCCCACAGCCGGACTGGCCTCTCAGCACTCTTCTCAAATGGGTCCAGAGAGGCTACTGAGTGAGGGCCATGGACTCTGCAGGGAGGGCTACTTCTGCTCAATGATTTCTAGCACCCAAAACAAAAGCCAGGGAGAAATGTACAGTCTTACTACCTCCTGGTCTGGCTGCATGCCAGTCCTGAAACTGTTTCAGAAAGACCCACAGTTCCCTCCAGCACTTGGACAGGGAAGGGACGGCAGAAGGTCTCTCAACACACAATACTCTCAGTTCATAGAATTCAGGCTCCAGTGTTCAGATAACCCATCTCTACCTCAGCAAACCACCCCCAATCCCCAGCCTGGGTTAAAGCCTTCTTTGCCAACACCACGACTTCTCTGGCCCCAGACTTTCCCGATTTCTTTTGCTCACCCCTTTCACTAGCAGAGACAGGCCGCTAATGAGACCACTAGGCAGAAATGGAATGAAGGGCTGGAAAAGCCTGCAGTGCTGGGATGTACCTCCTGATCCTAGGAGAAAGATGAGATGTAGATTTATCATAAAGCCACCATCCCTTCACAGTCACCTCCTGCTAGAATCATCCCATAGCCATTCCATAACCACTGCTGTGTTGGGTATCTGAGCCCCTGCCCATGAGGAACACCACCTTCCAGTAGGTAGTTGGAGCAGAGCCAAACTCTGCCCAGGAGTTTCTGCAATGCTCAGAAAATGCCTGCCCAACTGCTTGCCTGGGCTCTGGCCCCTTTGGCTTCAACTGAGCCCAGACAGGAGGCTGACTCACTCACCGCACGCACAGAGAAGGAGGAGGAACAAGAGGAGGAGGAGGAGGAGGAGGAGGAGGAGCTGCGAGAAGGGCCTGGACTTGGAGACCCAAGGCTCCCCCAGCCCAGGCTGGGTCTCAGACTCTGGTCCCTGGGTGAAGAGGTGGGGCAGTTGTCCACTGGCCCTGGAGATCACAGGCTGTTCCCTCCTAGATACTTCTGAATCTTCCTCACCACCACCACAGATGCAGGGCACCTCACTTTCCAAACAGAAACTACTCCTTGAGCCTCTTCCTCATTTAAATGCTTGCCCCTGAGTTCCTCTGAACATCTATTGACAGGCTGTCCTGAAAAACTGGGGCCAATTAGGTCTAAACTCATTGGTAGTTCAAAGAAAAGTTAAAAAAAAAAAATTACTTAAAAGACCCAACTCCACCATCACAGGTGGACCATACCTGGGTCCTGTAAGAAAATAAATAAGGCTACACGCCCTCCACTCCAGCAGTTTTGAACACCATCGACAGCCAATCGCTCCTTTTCTTATTCCTCCACTCCATGCCAAGGCGCCCGGACAGAGGAAGGAAACAAATGCTTCTTGTTGCCCAAGTGCTGAGCACTGTGCTAGCGGAGCATGTCTCCTTTAAGTTGCCTAAGCACCGAGGATGTCGCCGCTCCCCTCGCCAGCCTGGCAAGAACTTCACCTTTCTCAAACCTCAGTGCCCCTTAGTGTCCCAGCCTCATGGCACGACAGCCCCGACCTCAGTCGCCAAGTTTACCGCTGGGACTTAGACTCTAATGCTCGCACCCGGGCTCTCAGGCCCCGGTATCCCCGACGCCCCGACACCGAGTCCCTATCCTGAAACCCCCTTCCCCGCTGCTCCCGGGTCCGCACCTGGTCCGGCCGCGGGTTGGACAAGCTGTTCCGCGCTCCCGGCGCCCACGGCTCGGCTGCCGCCTTTTGACAAGCAGAGACAGCCCAGCACCTGGCCCCGCCTCTCGATCAGGCCCCGCCCCGGCCCCGGCCCGGCCCTCCGCCCCGCCCACAGGTCCAGTCCTCTCCTGCCAGGAGCTCGGTTGGCGCTGCAACCATCTTGACTTGGAATCAACCACCCTACAGGGCACGCTGTAGCCTTAGAGACTCTACCTCGTGAAACTTTCATCGACTATCGTCCATAGTGCAAGGCACGCTTCTGCCCTCTGTGGGACAGAGTTGTCGATGTTTATAGGTGCGGTTTCCCGCTTCAGCCTGCGTTAATCGGGGATGCAGCCCCCCACCCTTCCTGCCGTGGTTCTACCCAGCCTGCTGCGGACGCCTGGGCCAGGTGCGTCCCCTCCTCCTGGGCTGACCCGGCCAGGACTTCGTCGTCCGCGGGACGCTGGGGGGCGCCTGCCAACTGGCACCGGCGGCTAGCTCCGCACGGGTGGGAAATCCCGGGCTCCGCTCGCTATCCTGTTACTGCTGCAGAACGCCAGGAAGCTCAGCCTGCTCCCACAGATTAGGGTAAAAGACCCCTAGGGGCCGAAGTGGAAACCGGAGTTGCATCATCGCTCCCACCCGATATTACCTTGGTAGCGACCGCGGCTTACCACGTTCCCGGTCTGTCGCGAATCTCACCCAAGGGAGCTGAGTCTCAGCTTCCCTGGTCCCTGGTCCCCAGTTCCCCCTTCCTCCTCATGGCATCGGCGTGAAGGGAAAAGATAAAGAGTACGTCCTGAGACCTGGAATTGTGGATGACTGTGGAAAATTCACCACAAAAAATTTTGGCTAAAAGTTATTCTCTGCTTCCCTTGACTACGTGATAGGCACAGCTCTAGCTACTAGAGGAGAGCTGAAAAAGCTGGGGTTCCCTCTTCTAAGAACTCTCTGTGCAGTGGGAAAGTGTATAAATAAATAGCAATTACAACATAATCTTCTGGAATAGAAATGCCCACAAAATCATCCAGCAGTGGATGACCTCTTTTAGCCAGGGAAGATATTGCTATTCGCCTCTTACAGAGGAGGAAACCGTGGCTCAGAGGGACAAGATGAAAGGGTGGAAAATTGAGGCATAGAAAGGTTAAGTAATATGCCCAACATGACTCAGCTAATCAATGAAGGACTAGTGCTAGAGCCCAGCAAATCTGCCGGTGCAATGGTCTCTGAACCATTTCTGAGACAGCCATGCTGGACTACATGATAACCAGCCCCTCACAACTCAATAATGGGGTTAAAAGAAATAGACTGAGATTAAACAGAAGGAAGAACCTCCAACAGTGAAGTTTGTTAAGCGCTGAAACAGTTCATTATGGAGGTATCATGGAAACTTTCTGAGAAGACTTAAACAAAAGACAGAAGAGAGGCACAGTCTTTGACTGAACTTGGGAATGGACCATTTATTCTGAGAAACAGATGAAGTGCCCCTTTAGAGGTCCTGCCAGTCTGATGGATGGATTCTCTACCCGTAATGAAAGTAATAGGAAGAATTCCCTTGCCCAAAGCATCGTGGGAAAGCTAGTGGTGATTCTTGTGGGAAGAAAAGCATAAGAGGAAATTTCCAACTGCTAATACCTTGGGACATTCTCTGGAAGTCCCATGAGCCTCTGAAAGAGGTTGAGCACTCAGAAGTCACTTTTGTGGTGCTTGATTGGTCTGACGTCTTGCAAATAAACCTTATCAAAAGATGGTGGATGCTTACTAAGTATTCCATAGTAATTGACAGTTAGTCTTTTTTCACAGCTCTTTGTTGGAGGAGAGGTACTTGTAATTCATATGTGTAAACTGCTTTATAGTATAAAAAGAATTCTTTGGAATATCTTACTTGATCTTTATCACAGCCTTTTCAGACATGAAGAGTAAAAAATAATGTTCCATTGTACAACTGATGTGCAGAGTTGTCAAGGTTTTTACAGCTGAGGAGTATCAGAGCTACTGGACCCAGGTCTTCTCTCTGCACATCCCACTGTTTCATGCTGCCTCTAAAAAACAAAACAATGTTTCCATGCATGCACTTTTCACAGAGTTGGAGAACTCAGAGGTTCTGCGTTTGGCAGATTGGCAAGATTATAGATGTCATCACGGTCCCCAGCACATGCCGTCATCAGCCCCATCACCTTGTCTCTAACCATGCTCTTCTCATATTCCCCCAATACCTTAACTGTTCTCTCTCATCCACCTCTCCAGATCCTTTCCTCTTTCAGGTCGTGCCTGTTCCATCAGGCTTTTCCAACATCTCCAGGCTGAAAGGAACTGTCAATTCTCTGGTCTTTGTAGCGCATGCATTGTCTATATTGCATGATTCTGCACCTGATAATGAACCATCTGGTATTTACATTGAACAAAGATAGATTTTTTTTGCCTGTTTTGTTCTTAGAAGGAAGGTTATTTTGTGAAAGTAGAAAAGCAAGATCATATGAGATTCACTTCTCCTGTGTTCTGTTGTAATCCATAATTGTCTCTGGACCCTACTTCGCCCTAGCCAGGTATACAACTGGAAAGGGAGGTTGCTGTCCCACACCATGTTCTCTTGATGCCTTGATGACAAGCACCATTCCTGCACTACAGAGTTAATAGTTTTAAATTCCTCTATCTTGACTTCTCTATAAATCATGTACCAGAACCTATGCAGAAGACGTTAATTTTTCTTTTCCCTGAAGTTAACATTTCTCATATTCTCACTTATCCCTGGGATGGGTAGTGGTCTTTATTGGGATGTACAGATTGTTTTTTGTCAGTACTCATCGCTGCCAAATTACATCAGGGAATATCTAGTAAGCACTTGCTTGGCTAATATTAGCCAAGTCTGGTGGTGTGCTAGATACCCTGCTATAGTGCTATAGACTCAAAAATCTGTGTAAAAACAAAAGAGTCCTTCCAGGTGCATCTGACTTTGATGGAACGATTCCAGAGGCGCTAGGCTGAGGATTTCATTTCATTCATTTCATTCCTGTGCATTTCATTCCACAGACTCCAAAGAAAGGCAGGGCCTGGTCTCTTGAACTCTCTGCCAGGCTCTAGGTACCTGGGGATGGCCTGGGCAGTTGTGGCTACAGTCAGGCCATAGGACTGCAGCCTGTCCTCATCTCTGGGCTTCCCTTTTCTGCAGCCTGGCCACTGTCCTCGAGGCTGGCTGATGCTCTCTGCACCTCTTGCTGTTGTGTCAGAGCTTGAGTGGGTCACTTTGTCCCTGTGAGGCTCCCAGAGACCCTGTCCCCATGGACAGAGGTTTTTTGAGCTGCCTAAAGACTGCTCTGTAGGTAAAAATGTGCCCTTTGAGCTCTCTCTGGAACACTCCCATCTAACTGTTTGTTTTTCCCTTTTTAGGGCCATTTTTCCCCCTTAAATATTTTATGGTTATGGGCACAGTGGGACTGAAGGGAAGCCTCTCTTCAGTAAACACCCAGAGAACATTCTGAGAGACATGGGCATGGTGTTAGAAAGACAGAAGGGACCAGGCCATCTTTTCAGTTTGTTCCCTTGTTTTAGAGATTTTTTAAAAACACACATTAAATTCAGAAAGGTTAATTCTTTTATATTTCCTAACCCTTGTTAAGACGAAAAGGATCAAGGATGACTCTCCTTATTTATGTTCCAGATGGTAAAAATAGAATGAATAAATGTAAGAAGCTGTAGCAATGAAAGCAAACCAAGGGGTCTTCCCAGGACAGTGTTTTCAAATTTTTAACTGCAACCCATAATAAGAAATAGGTTTTTATTGTGACCTAGTTTACTCAGGAATATATATAAGTTTCCTGCTACAAAAGATGTTCTACAATGTTTTCTATTATTTTCTCTATCCTCTTTTCCTTCCTTCCTCCCTCCCTCTTTCCCTCTTTCATTCCTCTTCCTTCCTTCCTTCCTTCCTTCGTTCCTTCCTTCCTTCCTTCCTTCCTTCCTTCCTTCTTTCCTTTTGGGATCCACCAAATTTACTTCACCACGCATTAATGGGTTGTGACCCAAAATATAGTATTAAAAATCCTACCCTGCACAGTGGCTCAGGCCTCTAATCCCTGTACTTTAGGAGGTTGAGGTGGAAGGATTACTTTGAGGCCAGGAGTTTGAGACCAGCCTGAGCAACATAGTGAGACCCTATCTCTACAAAAACTTTAAAAATTATCCAGGCGTGGTGGTGTGTGCTTGTAGTCCAAGCTGCTTGAGAGGCTGAAGTGGGAGGATCGCTTGAGCCTGGGAGGTCAAGGCTCTAGTGAGCTATGATCATGCCACTATGCTTGAGGCCTGGGCAGCAGAGTGAGACCTTATCTGAAAAAAAAAAAAAAAAAAATTCCTGCCCTAGATCATGGGCTAGGCTGACTTTATTGTTTGAGTAGCCAACCGACAGAAGACTCCATCCAGGGAATTGATGGAATCTTGCCTTTCTGAATGGCAGAACAAGTCCCTCTCACCATAGGACCCCCTCATTTAGAGCCTGGAACACAAAATTCACAGAAATACATTTGAGAGACCATCAATGGCTTACATGTAGCACCCTCAGAACCCTGCAGGGGATACATGATGATTCTGGTGATTCTACCTCCAAGAGTATATGGTCAGGGTTAGGTCACTGAGGCAGAATGTATCCACCCAATGTTTGCTTTTGTGGCCTTTACTCAACTGATATATTACCACTCTCAAGTATTTTCCAGGTTTGGGGAGTTCATTTAGCCTCAAGATGCCTATGGCACCTCAGAAATCTTGACTGCTCCAGAACAGAGCAGAACAGAACAGCTCCAAGGAGTCCTGTGCAATGCCATGAGAAGTGAATGCACACAGACCCAGCCTGCCCTAGAAAGAGTAGGGCACCGCCAGTTATTCACTCCAAATCCATCTGGCTCCAGGGCTCCATTCCCAGTAGCCCAGCTCATGTCTTCTTCCTCGGGGCTTTTGGCATTTGTCTTTCCCACCTGCTCCCACATCTTCGAGCCCCAGGCTGCCAGCCTGCTGGCCCGCACACAGTGTCTGCTGGCATGGTAAAGTAGAGCCTAGAG